TGGGGATTTTCTTTCTTTTTTGGGTCACCCTGCCTCGGTGGGAGACGGCCAACTTGTAAAAAAAAAAAAAAAAAAATCTTAGTGTGGTTCTTTACTTTTAAATACGTACTTTGTATTGCCTTCATAAGCTCTAATATTTCTACCAGTGCAATAATGAATCCTAACAGTTGTTCATAAAATTTATAACTTGTAGTAATAGAAATTATTTCTTATTTTATATCTTTTAACTAATATTACTTGCTTAAATCTCTAAGACAGCAGGCATACTATCGAGGATATGGTACTATAAATAACAAATGGTACTATGTTCTGCAATCAGCTCTCCTTGCACTGTATCATTTAATCATCTACCCTTATCTCACATATGGGATTTGTGCATGGGGATCAGCAACATTATATCACCCAAGGCCACTAATAACCCAGCAAAAGGCTGCAGTCAGAATGATAAATTCCCACTCCCGACAGCATACTCTACCAATATTCAAAAGTCTAAAACTGCTCACCATAAAGAACATCCATCCTTGCTCATGTGCCTACTACATATATAGAACACTACACTCAAACAAACCCTCCACTCAAACACCTCCTCACCAACCTTAACAGGTCACATGACCATAACACAAGACACATCTCTTTTTGATGTACCCTGTGTCCATATCACACTGTAAAAACTATGCACATAAAGAGCCCCAAAATATGGAATTCATTACCAATAAATACTAAAGTAACTCAGTCTGAACATCAATTTAAGATTCTTCACAAAAACCACTTACTCACCCTAAACTAAATACTCAACATTTAACTTTACCAAACAATCTCCCAATTATCTAAATCTTAAAACTTCAAAACGGGATGCCCAAAGTTCATACATTGATTAAAACTACCTGTAGTATAAATTCCTACCCAAAACATTACTGCCTTACACCCAATTGTAGCATTCTCATACTGTAAACTTCCAACAACTCACAATGTTATATTCCCATAACATAATTGCAATATTTACTATTGAAATTTTTGTAATTTGAGTAAAATTACTGTGTACTATAAATAAAGAAGATGTACAACTTAAACTATGTTCAATTTCTTTAGTATTAAGTAGTCTGTAAGCCATTAAATTAAGTCTGCCCATAATGCCTAGGCATGATAGTGGCTGTCTTTGCACTGCAACTCATTTCTGTAATTTCATAATCTCAATGTAATCTTGCAAGGAAATAAAAATTGTTTGATTGATTGATACTACTTCTAAAACAAATAATGTAGTATTGATTTTTCTATTAGATTTCAAACATGCACAGTTATGTAATGATTCACAAACCCTAGAATACATATGCTCTGAGTAAGGTTATTATTCTAATTTTTTTTTTCAACAAGTTGGCCATCTCCCACTGAGGCAGGGTGATCCAAAAAGAAAGAAAATCCCCAAAAAGAAAATACTTTCATCATCATTCAACACTTTCACCTCACTCATACATAATCAATGTCTTTGCAGAGGCACCCAGATACAACAGTTTAGAAGTATATATAAGATATATATAACATATCCCTCCAAACTGCCAATATCCCAAACCCCTCGTTCCATTTCCAGTACTCAAGTCCTGCTATATAAAAATAACCGGTTTCCCTAAATCCCTTCACTAAATATTACCCTGCTCACATTCCAACAGCTCATTGTGTCCCAAAAACCATTCATCTCCATTTACTCCTATCTAACATGCTCACGCACGTTTTCTGGAAGTCCAAGCCCCTCGCCCACAAAACCTCCTTTACTCCCTCCCTCCAACCTTTTCGAGGACGACCCCTATCCTGCCTTCCCCTACAGATTTATAAGCTCTTCAAATCATTCTACTTTGATCCATTCTCTCTAAATGACCAAACCACCTCAATAACCCCTCTTCAGCCCTATGACTAATACTTTTATTAACTCCAAACCTTTTCCTAATTTCCACACTCCGAATTTCTGCATAATATTTACACCGCACATTACCCTTAGACAGGACATTTCCACTGCCTCCAGCCGCCTCCTCGCTGCAGCATCTACAACCCAAGCTATACAACCCATATAAGAGTGTTGGCACCACTATACTTTCATACATTCCCTTCTTTGCCTCCATGGATAACATTTTTTGTCTCCACAAATACCTCAATGCACCACTTACCTTTTTTCCTTCATCAATTCTATGAATAACCTCATCCTTCATAAACCCATCTGCTGACACTTCAACTCCTAAATATCTGAAAACATTTACTTCTTCCATACTCCCTCTCTCCAATGTGATATCCAATTTTTCTTTATCTAAATCGTTTGATACCCTCATCACCTTACTCTTATCTATGTTCACTTTCAACTTTCTACCTATAATATACCTTTAATATAAAAATAAAATACAAAAACATTAAAGACAGAATATGAATCAGGATACAAAATCATAGATAATAAATACTTCTGAAGGACAAATAACAAATTAAGGACTCCAGGGTTCGCTACCCCCACAATCTACACTAAATACTCACCTCTAGTGACTATAGTAGGTTCTTCTATCATATATTTTTGCACTCAGTGTAGACCAACTTTGTTTTTATTTGGTTTAAATTAACTTACTTCTTGTGGCTAGTGCCCAATGAAAATTCATGAAGTGCTCAGAGCTTCAGCTGGCAACTGGTATACAATGCACAACTAACCTACAATTTGGAGGTCTCCTGTAGTCTTGTGGCTCTAAGGGCCTTCATTTAGTAGGGCCCTATCACACAAAGATGTAGGGTGCATTCTTAAGCCTTCCCACATGAAGATATGCATTGTGTTACTTTAAAGATGAGTGTACTGGGTGTACTGCTCAGCCTCTAGCTGAGATTGATCAAATCAAAATTGTTTCTTCTGGTGTCTCCAGTGTTATATTTGTCTGTATACAACCTGAAACACCTGTTGTGCAGGAAAAAACATTTGGGCAATAAAAATGCCCAAGTGGTGTACACGTGTCTTAGTTATTGTGGAAAAATTAAATATAGAAGCAAACAAAGTCTGTCTAAAGTATGTTCTGCCATGTAAACCTACAAGAAACTCATATAAAGAGAATGTAGAAGAGTGTCTTGAAGAAGAAAAAGGTAGAAGAGTGTCTTGGGGAACAAAATAGAAGAAAAAGGGTTACCAAGTTGTTAAGAAATGAGATTATGTTAAAATAAAGGAAAGACCATCTAAACTGAAAGCTTACCAATTTAAACCAGAAACTTAACCCATTAACTGTGGCAATTCCAGTGTGTTTGAAGGATAACAATGTCTGGAGAAGAGTCTACACTGCAGGTTACATAGAAACATCTAAGTAGTAGGTTGGTAGACAGCAACTGCCCAGGGAGGTACTAACGTCCTGCCAAGTGAACGTAAAACATGATGGTAGGACTGCTGGTGTCGTTTTTGTCTCATAAACATGCAAGATTTCAGGTACGTCTTGCTACTTGTACTTAAACTTAGGTCACACTACACATGCATGTACAAGCATATGTATACACACACCCCTCTGGGTTTTCTTCTATTTTTTTGCTAGTTCTTGCTCTTGTTTATTTCCTCTTATCTCCATAGGGAAAGTGGAACAGTATTCTTCCTTCGTAAGCCATGCGTGTCGTAAGAGGTGACTAAAATGCCGGGAGCAAGAGGCTAGTAACCCCTTCTCCTGAATACATTACTAATTTTAAAAAGTGAAACTTTCGTTTTTCTTTTTAGGTCACCCTGCCTCAATGGGATATGGCCTGTTTAATGGGGAAAAAAAAAAAAAAAAAAAAAAAAAAAAAAAAGGAGTAATAACTGGAGAGATTTTAACCATTTCGAGATCTGTGCCATAGAACTATAGGTTTAAGCTCAGTTCACTCAGATCAGCAGTGAGCAGTAACTTTGGGCCTAGATATGAGAGAATGAGTCTATGTGGTGAGTGTACACCCTATATAAAAAATCCTGCCCCATGTAGCACATGGGAAAAAACTGTGACTGTTTTTTTGGTTTAAAACAGCCACTTTGCGGTATACAGTGTATTTATGGATGGTTTTCATTGTTGTATACTTGGTGTCTTTGAAACATTTAACAGAATGGACAATATATTATAGAAACAGAGATGATTCTGATTGGTTTCAGGACTTTAAGTAGATTGAAACCGAGCCCAAAACAGTGGAAATGTTCAAATTTTGCTGATGCTCAAGAGGACATAAATTATGTCATTTGTCCAATACGTGTCCAACTGGGTGGTCTAATACACATTCATAAATGCACTGACACTATTTATACAGATATTGCAAAAAAGCGGTAGTCTGCATACCAATAAATTTTCTATTGTGTGAATAAAATTTCAAAATGGAAAGCAAGTGTAATATAGGAGAGGCCTGAGGAAGTAAATAATGAACAGAGGAAATGTTGTTTTAGTGCAAGAAATGTCTACATTGTTTATTCTGGACCCTATTTTTAAATTGGCAATATTTTAATATTTTTAATTGTGTGAAATTGGCCAAATTACCAATTTCTGATCACTTTATTGGGTAGCTGAAATAGGTAAATGGGAGGTTTCTTGTACTCAATCAATAGAATGGAAGGAATACTAAAAAAGTAGCTATGAGTTTGGTTGACTGGAAAAATGGAATTGGCCTAAAATATGACTCAAAGTGGATGAAATCGCTGATGCATAAATATCGCTGAGCCCGCTAACTTTGCGAGAGCGTAATTCCAAAAGTTTTCCATCAAATTTCATGCTTTTGGTTTCATTACTTTCAGAAAAAGTTTCTCTAACATTTCATAAGATTTTTTTTTATTTTAAAATTCTTGGACCCTGAGAGCAAATCTTATGTCAGGGGTCTGGACTCCGAAAGGACTGAATATTTACTGCACTGGATGGGTTAAGCTTGAACCCACCGCAAGTGATTGCTAAAACTCACAGGCCAGCGAGTCAAAATCTAATTAGCTTTATAATGGTATTGCATTATTATTTAGCATTATTATATAAAAAAAAAAAGGAAAACATTCTAACCTCCACGGCGTCGTTGTAAAAGACCAACTGGGGACTTGAGAACTAATTTGTATGGGTCAGTAATGGTCTCTTGGGCTAGTTCAAACAGCTTCGTCAGATCAGTTTCTAGTGCCTGAAATGTAGACAATATTGCTTTTAACAATTTAAACCATATAGCTGAGATATACCTGTAAAGCAAAATATTTGTTACAACATTCACACAGTGTAATAAAAAAAGGTAACTGGGCATTCACTGTATGATGCACACAGACTGAGCTCTTATTTTTTAAAATAATAATGGTTGTTTAACATACTTATAGATGGGGTTGTAAAAGAAGCAAATGCTAGGGTGCTGCGAAAAGAAGGTAGGACTGAAATATGTGGAATCAAATACAAAATGGGAACTGACAATGTTAGAAGAGTTGTAAAAGTTAGTGAACGAATCTGGGAGGGTGTGTAAATGAAGTTGAAAGTGAACACAGATAAGAGTATGGTGATGAGGGTACCAAACAAGTTAGGTAAGATATAACTGGATATCAGACTGGGGGCAAGGAAGTATTATGGAAGAAGTAAATGTGTTCAGATATTTGGGAGTGGACATGTTGGCAGATGAGTATATGAAAGACGAGGTAAACCATAGAACTGATGAAGGAAAAAAAGGTGGGGAGGGGGGGGGGCACTGAGGTATCTGTGGAGACAAAAAATGTTATGCATGGAGGCAAAGAAGGGAATGTATGAGAATATGGTGGTACCAACACTCTTACATAGATGTGAGGTACGGTGGTTGTGAATGTTGCAGCGAAGATAAGGGCAATGTGTGACGTAAATATTATGCAGAGAATTCATAGTTTGGAAGTTAGGTGGTGCAGAGTAACTAGAAGTATTATCCAGAGGGCTGAGGAAAGCTAAATGAAATGGGTTGGTCATTTAAAGAAGATGGAGCAAAACAGAATGACTTGTAGGGATGTAAATCTGTAGGAGGGAAGGTGAGGTATGGGTCACCCTAGGAGAGGATGGAGGGAGGGGGTAAAGGAGGTTTTGTGTGCAAGGAGCTTGGGCATACAGAAGGCATGTGGAAGTATGTTAGATAGGAGTGGAGACAAATAGTTTTTGGGACCAGACAGTGGGAGTGGACAGCCACTCAAATTTTGTGCTCAATCATTAGAACGGAAGGCATACTATCAAAACAGCTAAGAAACACTGGTTGAATAAGCAATGAAACTGGCTTAAAATTGGACTCAGAGTGAAATAAATGATGCACAAATTGTGCCAAGATTGCTAATTTTGCACCTGTGAAATTCCATGAATTTTCCATCAAATATTGCATTTTTGGTGTCATTACCTTCAGAAAAAAATTCTCTACCATTTCAGAAGGATTTTTTTTTTAAAGTGGACACTGATAGCAATATTAATTGTGAGAGTCTGGACAGTGAAAGGGTTAATTTTGAGTCTGGGCAATGGAAGGGTTATTTTTGTGTGTGTGTGTGTGTGGGGGGGGGGGTCTGGACAGTGGAAGGGTCAATTTCAGGGGGGGGGGGTGTTTGGACAGTGAAAGGGTTAATTTTGGTGGTCTGGACAGCGAAAGGGTTAATGTGATAATGACAGTAATTTATTATCTCAAACAAATCCTGAAACCATGTCTGTCATCCTATACTGTCCTTGTTCTTGTTCCATCCTTCCTTTCACTTTCATTTATTACAAGAAAGGAATTTTTTTCTTGTATTAATTCCTTTATTTATCTTAAATTGATTCTTTTATTAAACTACTGAATGCCTTCAATATAATATAAACTAAGTATTCCTATTCTCATGTACAGTATGTGTCTCAGTGTCTAATAATTATAAGTTTGTTTGAAGTCTGCATGAAATGCTTTGCATAACAAAGGGCTTTCTATACAGCAGATTATACATGTCAATTACCATAACTGTATAATGTGAAGTATGCCACTTTATACACAGTTATTTTTTTTTTAAGTGTATGTCTAGTTATCACACCTCTGCTTCTTGCAATAAACAGCATTGGCTTAAAGTTCTAATAAACTAGAGAAAAAAATACTTAATAAGTTAGCTAAAACATTATATGACATTAGTGTTTAATAAGCTTACCTGTAGTGCTTGAAATGCTTTACTCTTAATCTTCTTATCAGCATTTAGTTGATATATGGAAGAAAATCCCTCAAGATGAGCTGTGAAATCAGCAAAGTCTCCCCGGCTAAGGCAGTCCATAAGTACAGGTGATGACTGAAAGAGAAAAGTTACACTGGTTCTCTCGCTAACAAATGTGAAAATGATACAAATACATAGTATTTTTTCCACCTCACCAACCATGGTCAACTCTAGAAGGGTAGTGGACCCAGGCTGCAAAGGATGCTACATGCATCCTTCTCCTTAACCCTCTGACTGTCGCGGCCGTATATATACGTCTTACGAGGTACCGTGTTTGACGTATATATACTCATAAATTCTAGCGGCTTCAAATCAAGCAGGAGAAAGCTGGTAGGCCCACATGTGAGAGAATGGGTCTGTGTGGTCTGTGTGCATGCAGTGCATAATGAGAAAAAAAAAAACTCCGACCATTTTTTTTAATTAAAATGCCGACTTTGTGGTCTATTTTCGTATAGTATTTATGGTTGTATTCTCATTTTCTTGGTCTCATTTGATAGAATGGAAAACATATTATAGAAGTAGAGGTGATTTTGATTGATTTTACTATAAAAAGAACCAGGAAATGGAGCTCAAAGTAGGGAAAATGTTTGATTTTTGCCAATGTTCAAAAGTAAACAAATGATGTCATTGTTCAACAAATGTCCAACTAGCCATTCTAATATGCAGTCATGAATGGGTTGATGTTATTTATACAATTATTACAATATTGCAGTAGTCTGCATAATAGTAAGTCTTCTATTTTTTGTCTGAATACAAATTCAAAATAGAAAACAAGAGTAATATCAGAGGGGCCTGGAGACATGACTGATGAACAAAGAAAATGTTATTTTAGAGCCAGGAATGTCTGCATTGTTCATTCTGGACCTTATTTTGAAATTGACATATTTTTTAATTTTCGTGAAATTGGCCAAATTGCAAATTTCTGACCATGTTATTGGGTAGTTGAAATCGGTAAATGGGCAGTTTCTTGTACTCAATCGATAGAAAAAAATAGAGTTCTAAAGAAATAGCTATGAGTTTGGTCGACTGGAACAATGGAATTAGCCGAAAATAGGGCTCAAAGTGGGCGAAATCGCCGATTTGTAAATATCGCCGAGGTCGCTAACTTCGCGAGAGCATAACTCCGTCAGTTTTCCATCAAATTTAATTTCGTTTTTTTGGTGTCATTACAATCGGGAAAAGATTTTCTATCATTTCATAAGAAAATCTTTTTTTTTTTTTTTTTGAAAATTTGCAACACCAGGAGACACCTCAGGATTGGGGGTTGCGACAGTCAAAGGGTTAAATATGAATGAGAAGAAACAAAATCCGAGCTAGTACCTAGAATGTCTATGAAATTGTGACACATGTGCAACATCTGGGTATCTTTATTGTAGACGTTTTGCCATCCAGTGGCTTTATCAATACAAATTCCATGACATAACTTGAAGACAGGAGAACTATGTACAGAACATGAGGTAATCAGTCCCTCAACCTAGCAGTAGGTGCGAAGAGCACCACAGTCGTGGAGATTCTGAAGCAGAAGAAAGGCGCCTGACACTTATATAGTAATGTCAGGTGGAAATGGGACAGGTAGCAGACAAGGGCATAGTCACTGGTAGGCGGGATTTCCCATTGGAAGTAGGTCCTACCCAAAGAGATGGGTTAGTTGTAGTAGTCGTGAAGGTTATGTACATGTCCTCAGAATCAAGATTCCATGATGTTGCAGTGTCTGACAGGTTGTACAAGAATGGTATACAATACCGACAAGATGAAATTGAGACACATGTGCAACATCTGGGTATCTTTATTGTAGACGTTTCGCCATCCAGTGGCTTTATCAATACAAATTCCAGGACATAACTTGAAGACAGGAGAACTATGTACAGAACATGAGGTAATCAGTCCCTCAACCTAGCAGTAGGTGCAAGAGCACCACAGTTGTGGAGATTCTGAAGCAGAAGAAAGGCGCCTGACGCTTATATAGTAACGTCAGGTGGAAATGGGACGGGTAGCAGACAAGGGCATAGTCACTGGTAGGCGGGATTCCCCAGTGGAAGTAGGTCCTACCCAAAGAGATGGGTTAGTTGTAGTAGTAGTTGTCGTAGTCATGAAGGTTATGTACATGTCCTCAGAATCAAGATTCTATGATGTTGCAGTGTCTGACAGGTTGTACAAGAATGGCATACAATACCGATAAGATGAATGTCTATCTTTAATGGTACAAAGTTGAATACTTATCAAAGTGAGTATTATATTGTTATTATCTCTATTCTGGGATACCAATGAAGTTAACATACTTTTAAATAGTGTACAAAAACACATTTACTCACAAGCTAATTCACCACATTATTTTACAATGAATATGAAACAAACTACTGACGGTCACTGACCTAGCCACATACACAAGTTGGAACTCTTCAACTGTGTCCACTTACTAGCTAAACACACAGAGTAGCAAACATGTGTCATTAGTAAGACTGTCTGCATTAACAGGAGCCTTAATGAATACTTCTCAGAGTTACTCTTTTTTTTTTCTTCTACACTTCTTTTCCTGAGGGGATATGGAGGTTTGCCCTGCCCTGGGCATCATACCTACCACAATTCATACCTACTAAAGTCCACGTACATTATTGTAGTGTCTTAATATGTGCAATTAACAATGCCATTCCTACACTGATACAGAGAAATTCTTTTGTGTTTTATATTCCATTTACTATCTCACTGTGAAATTTTACCTTGCATTTACCTTACATTGTTTATATTTGCATAAGTGATTTTTTTACCTTATTTTGTATTATAAGTTACTTTATCATAGACTTTCATTCTGATTTTTTGTTAATAGTAGTCATACCAGTTAATTACATTATTCCTTTCTCACTCCACTGCTCATATCACTAGTGTTTAACTACTGATACCCTTATCTCATCCTTCACTTTCCTAATCCCTCCTCATAGTACATGAATACTGATATTCACTTTGATTTAAATATTCTATTTCATCAAAATGGTAATCAATACTCCTCTGAAAATTTCTGTCTTAACTACAAGTATGTCAAGCAAAAGCTAATCTCAGCAACACCAAGAATATACATATCTGTATTCAGTTATGTTAGATACCTCAGTAGGCACTACGATAACCTCTTAGTGCTCCTATATTATTTAAATGCTAACATCTCTTGTATTATTCTTACTGAAACCCAGAAACCTGGCTTAAGTATGACATAACAGGCATCTTTACCTTACCTGGGTACATAGCCATTCATAACTGCAGGCCTGATCAAATGGGTTAAGGTATTGCCATCTACTACTGTAATGAATTAACATGCAGTAACTCTACATGCATCAGTGATGAATATGGTGAATACAGGTCTCCCTCAACATTCGCGAGGGTTAGGGGATCAAGAACCTCACGAATGTTGAAAAATTGCAAATGTTTGGTGACCCAATATATTGTAGGGAAATATAATACAATACTGCTTCCTTAACCTATTGAACCATGAACAGTCATAAAACACATGAAAACATAAAATATTGTACTAGTGCCAGCCCTTTGGTAAAGAAGATGATAAAAACTATAGAATTCAAGAAAGAAGTCATAGCAGAGTACCAAAGTGGAGGAGGAAGAGAGAGGGAAGAATGTGCCTTCATTCTAGAGTATATGTCATGTTTCTATGTTATTAACATTGTTTATTATGCCATATTAGATGAATTGTGATAGATAAATAAGCTGCAGAGTTGATATTAGTGTCATATTGAAGGACTATCTTGTCTTATCTCCAAACCAACTCTGCCACCGCCACAACTCCAAACATATGTAATGACACATTTTAAATATGATTGGGCGGCTGGGAATTAGCGAATGTTCGAAGCCCGTGAAGGTGGAAAACGTGAATGTTGAGGGAGACCTGTATATATTTGCCTTGGTGGGAGACGACCGACTTGTTAAAAAAAAAAAAAATATTTGCTAACTTTGCAACCAGAAATTTAAAGACCCCAATTACAAATGGAACAGTCTACAGGCTACCTCATACTAATATTCCCACCTTTAGCAACAACCTGAAGAACCTAATAACTAAAAAGTACTTAAACAAACAATCGTCTAATACTTTCTGGTGACTCCAACAATAACCTTGTTCAAGCTGAGGACCCTCAAATAGCTGGCTTCTTCAACAGCATGTATATATTTTCTTATATCAGCTATAACTAAGCCAACAAGAATCACTGAGACAACTGCATCTACAATAGACCATATCTGGACTAATGTAATAGATCCCCTCAAAGCAGGAATAATCACAAACAATACTACTGACCACTATCCCAACTTCCTTATAAGCAACATATGCAAGCTACTATAACTCACGAAATCGTAATGTTTTATGACTCTCTGATCGCGGATTCTAACCCCACCCGTGGTATGGCTTGTAAGCTACTATACTTGATACTAGTATGATCTCTTTTCGTCTCCATGATGAGACATCATTAAAGACCTTCACTACAGCAGTAAATGACAATGACTAGCACAAAGAGTTTACTAACAACAGGGGCAATGACAAATAGGTCAATATTTTTTCTGCAGAAAAATAGAAAGCCTCTACAATAGACATTGTTTTTTTAAAATTAAGAAGATCACAGCAGAGACTAAATAGCCCATGGCTAACAAACAGCATCCTCAGGTTCAATGATAAAAAAAAACTATGAAAAACTGTACAGACTGGGATTAGTAACTAAAGAGCAAACCAAAAGCTATGCATCAGTACTTACCACACTAATAAGGAAGTCTAAACAACTGTATTATGCTAGCAGGCTCTATGAAATAAATGGTGATATGAAGACCTAGAACACACACTCAAATCCTGAACTCTTGGAAACTGACCAAAATCAAAGGTACTGTTTTAGCTAAACCCAATACACCTTACATCCAGCCAACAGAAATAGCCAATACATTAAATGATTTCTTCTCTACCAGAGGATCAAGTTTTTCTAACAAAATCCCAAATACAAGCACTCAAGTGAGTAACTACCTTGTTTGAAGTTTTCCAAATTCACTCTATCTGGCTCCAACTAATCTTACTGACAGCTATGTGATAATAAATTCACTGTAAAACAAGTTAGGTAACTTAGCTCATGTACCACTGCTATTGTTCACAAGAGCAGCTCATATACTGTCACCCACAGCAATATTGTTCAATTAATCATTAGAAACCAACATATTCCTGTCAATGCTCAAGACAGTAAAGATTGCCCCAATACATGGAGGATACCCATCCTACACAAATAACTACAGACCAATATCTAACTTGCCATTGTTATCCAAAATCTTCAAAAAATTAATCTACAAGAGACTAAACTCTTCCCTAGCCTCACTCATTAAACTTAAACCCTGCCAGTTTGGTTTCAGGCAAAATCAAAGCACAAATGATGCAATCATAAAAATGCTGACTTTCTTTATACAGCTCTTGAGAATAATGAATATCCACTGGGCCTTTATACAGACCTCAGGAAAGCTTTTGCTACAGTAGGCCACAACATCTTGCATCTTAAACTAGAACATTATGGTATCACAGGTCATGCACTTTCATATCTAAAGTACTACCTTAACAACATAACCTTGTCAAGACAACTTATCAACACAGGGGTGCCTCAAGGCAGTGTTCTTGGCCCTCTGCTTTTTCTTATATGAAAACATTCAGTCTATATATCCCCCTACCCTTCCTACAGCTGCCTTGTTCATCTGCCATCATGCTCTTCATCTTACCCTTAACTCTTTCAATAATAACTTTACCATACACTTTACCTGGTATACTCAACCGACTCTATAGTTCTTACACTCTCTTCTGTCTCCTTTTTCTTTATTCAAAGGAACTATACATGTTCTCTGCCAATCCTTAGTTACCTTTCCCTCTTTCATACACTGAACAAAAAAACTAACTACTCCAAAACTACATTACCACCTGCTTTTTACATTTCTGTCTTGATGCCATCAATCTCAGCTGATCCAATTTTCATTTCAGTTTGTTTTATTACCACCAGTAAAATGTGCTTTTTTTTTTTTTTTAATTTCTGACACAGAAGGGGCTTTTAATTTTAGAGGGTGTGTGATAGTGAAAGTGTTAACTGGTTCCAATGTGCCAATGTTGTAAAAGCTGAACATCATAAGTCAGAACATCCTATGACAAAGACCTACTAATTATTTGTTCAATAATAATTAATTTTTTATTAACTCAAAATTGTGACATGACTTGTTATCCAGGTACAATAGAAACTACACTATGTCATACTATATGGGGGACAAAGAAGTTGGAATGAAAGGAAATGAAAGGAGTAAACAGAGTGATGGTAGTGACAGGAGCGAAGGGAGCTGCTGGTAATGTGAGGTCAGTGGCATGACTGAAGGACTACCAGTTACTGCCAACCATGATGCATCAAGGTTTTGGTAGTAAAATGGACAATCACAAAATTCAAAAAAATTTTTTTGTTTTTAACATGTCGGTTGTTTCCCACCAAGGCAGGGAGACCCAAAAAGAAAGAAAAATCTTTCATCATTCAACACTTACACCATCACTCATACATAATCACTGTATTTGCAGAGGCAATCAGATATGAAAGTTTAGATATCCCTCCAACCTGCCAATATCCAGACCCTTCCTTTAACCCATAAACGGTCCAAGCAGATCTACGTTCACATGTGTAGTGCTACAAAAGTAGATCTACGTTTTTTTACATGTTTTCAAATATAACAAAAAAAAAGTAGATCAAAGTTTTTTACACATTTTCAAATGTAAAAAAACAAAAAGAAGATTACATTTTTTACATACTTTCAAATGTTGAAAAAACGTATATATACGTTTGGACCGTTTACGGGTTAAAGTGCAGGCATTGTAGTTCCCACTTTCAGTACTCCAGTCCGGCTAACAGGTTTCTCTGAATCCCTTCACATGGCCATATTTTATTGTATTTCTAGTTTTCTGTCAGAAATTAAAAAAAAACACAAGTGAAAGCTCTCCATACTTATGGTTACTTACCAATCCCTCATTGGCATTCTGATCCCCAGCTAATTCCACCTTGACATCTCGTATTCGACCATCGGGATCAAGAAGAACTTCTACATAGAACATATCACATGACACAAAAACTTCAGAATCTGTTGTCCCAGCTGTAAATTTCAATCTGAAAAGAAAAGCAAGCACTGTCTAGACACCGAGAATAAAGATTTGAGAGTAAAATGCTAACTTTTGCAAATGCAGCAAAACCTCTCATTAGCACTGTACTTCCCACCTCCAAGACTCAAGTCTGGCTAACTGGTTCCCTGAATATTACCCTGCTCACACTCCAACAACAAACAAACCTCCCCCTCCCCCCCACACAGGAGAGATTAAGTGAAATTGACCTGATGACACTGGGGGGACAGGAGAGATGGGGGGACATGATATGACATATAAAAATTGAAAGGACCTGACAAGGTGGACAGAGACAGGATGTTCCAGAGATGGGACACAGTAACAAGGGTTCACAATTGGAAGTTGAAGACTCAGATGAGTCACAGGGATGTTGGGAAAGTGATGCAGTGGAGGTAGGATCCATACATAGCTTTAAGAGGTACAACAAAGCTCATGGAGCAGGGAGAGAGTGGATCTAGTAGAGACCAGAGAAGTGGCAAGACCAGAAGCTATGACTCAACCCCTGCAACCACAATTAGGCGAGTGTGCACGTGCGCACACACACGCACACATTAGGACCCCACTTTATGGTTTTTTCATTGTATGGTGTTTGGCTAATATGAACATTTTCAAAACCAAAACCTGTATACAGCTCCCCACCACCCGACTCGCTAATATGGCCTCCACACACCATTGTTTGTTTACATTTTTGTAAACTCAGTGTCCCTCCAGCATGTCTGGAAACTTTCCAAAATTTCAAGTGCTTTAAAATTATTGCATATTTTATATATACAGTGGACCCCCGGATTACGTAATTAATCAGTTCCAGAGAAAGTGACTTATCCTGAATCTGACTTATTCCGAATTAATTTTCCCCATAAGAAATAATGGAAATCCAATTAATCCATTTTAGACAGCCAAAAGTATTAAAAAAAAAAATATTTTCTACATGAAATATACATTTACCTACACAGAAAACAATGATACACGAAGAATAAAACAATAATAACATCACACTTACCTTTATTGAAGACATGGTGATCTATGAAAGATGGGAGGAGGGGAGAGGATGGAGGAGTTTACAATTGTTTGGAAGGGGAATCCCCTTCCATAGAGACTTCAGGTACCAAGTCCTTATCCTGGGTTACTTCCCTCTGTTTTTTAAGGCCACTAGGACCAGCTTAAGTCACTGGACCCCTGTTGCTCAAAAAAGTGTTCCAGAGAGGTCTGTTTCTGGCGTATGTTAGGAACTGTATTGGGAGACAGGACAAGATAGTCCTTCAATATGACACTAATATCAGCTCTACGACTTATTTATCTAGCACAATTTATCTAATATGACATTATAAACAATATCAACCCCTTGACTGTCGCAGCCCCAAATCCTGAGGTGTCTCCTGGTGTCGCAAAATTTCTGAAAAAAATTAAAAAAAAAAACTTCTGAAATGATAGAGAATCTTTTCCCAATTGTAATGACACCAAAAGAAAGAAATTTGATGGAAAACTGATGGAATTACACTATTGCGAAGTTAGCAACCTCAGCGATATTAACGAATCAGTGATTTCGCCCACTTTGAGCCCTACTTTCGGCTAATTCCATCGTTCCAGTCGACCAAACTCATAGCTATTTCTTTAGAACTACATATTTTCTAACGATTGAGTACAAGAAACTGCCCATTTACTGATTTCAACTACCCAATAACGTGGTCAGAAATTTGCAATTTGGCCAATTTCACGAAAATTAAAATACTATATGACAATTTCAAAATAGGGTCCAGAATGAGCAATGCAGACATTCCTGGCTCTAAAATAAAATTTTCTTTGTTCATCAGTCACGTCTCCATGCCACCCTGATTTTACTCTTGCTTTCTATTTTGAATTTTTATTCAAACAAAAAATACAAGATTTACTGTTATGCAGACTACTGCAATATTGTAATAATTGCATAAATAATGTCAACCCATTCATGACTGCATATTAGAATGGGTAGTTGGACACTTATTGGACAATGACATCATTTGTTTACTTTTGAACATCGGCAAAAATCAAACATTTCCCCTAATTTGAGCTCCATTTTAAGGTTCTTTTCATAGTAAAACCAATAAAAATCACCTCTACTACTATAATATGTTTTCCATTCTATCAAATGAGACCAAGAAAACAAGAATACAACCGTAAATACCATACGAAAATAGACCACAAAGTTGGCATTTTAATAAAAAAACGGTCGGAGTTTTTTTTTCTCATTATGCACTGCGTGCTGCAGGATTTTTTTATATGGTGCACACTGACCACACAGACCCATTCTCTTACATGTGGGCCTACCAGCTTTCTCCTGCTTGATTTGAAGCCGCTAGAATTTATGAGTATATATATGTCAAACACGGTGGCTCGTAAGACGTATATACTATATGACCGAAACAGTCAAAGGGTTAATAACAAAGAAACATGATATATCCTCTAGAATGAATAAAATATGGCATTAAGAATGTCATGAGTGGTGGTGTGTTGTTTGTTGTTGGGTGTATAAGGGTCGCTGAAAGATAAGCCTTACACAGTTGTGGTGAAGGCAGAAGCAGAGGTGGCGGTGTTAGTCAGTAGCCTTATATACCTCCAACAACAATGGAGGAGCCAGTTTTATGGTGTCCTTTTTCTATCGATTAATCGCTTAACTTACTTGCTACACTGTTAACCCTTAAACTGTCCAAACGTAGATCTACGTTTTTTTCAACATTTGAAAGTATGCAACAAAAAGTAGATCTTTTCTAATTTTACATTTGAAAATGTGTAAAAAAGCTTGCAAGTGTCTGTATTGTGGGGTATATGCTTCACCAACTCGTGTAAATGTACGTGTATTAACCAAAAGTAGACAGGTATTAATATGAATTTTGTCTGACCAAGTGACTCCCCTTACATATTTGTCCATTTGTTTAAATTCTTGGCGTCTCTCTCCTTCTCTCTCGTTTACAATAATAATAATAATATCTTTATTTCTACAAGTACAGTGGACCCCCGCCTACGATCAGCTCCCAACTCGACCAATTATGTAAGTGTATTTTTGTAAGTGCTTTGGTACGTGTATTTTTGAGGGTCTGAAACCGACTAATCTAATTCACAATATTCCTTATGGGAACAAATTCGGTCTATAACGGCACCCGAACAGACCTCTGGAATGAAATAATATCGTAAGGCGGGGGTCCACTGTACATGTATGATGACATCTAAGGGTAGCTGTTAAAAATTATTAAACTCAGTGAACAAGGTATGTTGATGGCAATAATAATAATAGCCCTGGGGAGCTTAAAATTTAAGTCGTAAATTTCAAGTATGTATGGTAGCTGGTGTAGGGGCTACCACACCTGACTTTCTACAATAAATACTACTCACTTCTCACCCTACATTAAGACTACAAATATTTTAAGGTAAGTAATGAATAAACTTTTGTTTTTCATTTTGGGCCAGTCTGCCTCAGTGGGAAACTGCCTGTTTGTTGAAAGCTAAAGAGAGAAGTAATGAATGTACTGTGTATATATTTTACTTTTTGTTTTTCTAAAGCCTAGTTCTACTGTTAATATATGTTTGCGTAAACTTGTCACAGTAGGGCCCCCACTTATACAGCTGGTTAGGTTCCAGGCTACCTCCAGAAAGGAGACATCGCCAGAAAGCGGATGTCATTCGTTTCCACTTAGAAATGTCAGATAATAAATTTACACTAACGTATACAGTGGAACCTCTACTTGCGAGCATGTCCACGTGCAAGTTTTTCCAAATACGAGCAGTCGATGCGTCGATTTTTTGCTTCCATACGTGAGCAAAATTTCCACAAGCGAGCAGACCTCAAGGCAGGTTCCTTGATATTGGTGAGGGGCTCTTGGTCTTGATCTCAGGAATTGTATCTCATTTGTTTGTTGGACTATCTTATCACAATTCATACTAGATGAATTGTGATAGATAAATAAGCAGTATAGATGATATAAGCGAAATTATTCATGAAGAATTTTGCCCAGTCTCCAGACAAACTCTCGTCCACCGCTGACACCGCCCATACCACTACATGAATGCCATATTTTATTCATTTTAACAAATGTGTTCTAATGAAGACACAACAATAAGCATAGAACATCCATTCATGCCAGGCCTCCTCTTGTGTCAAACAAGATGACAATATATCAGGTTTCTATGTTATTCATATTGTTTGTTATGTCATACTAGATGAACTGTGATAGATAAATAAGCCATATAGAAGATATTAGCGAAATTATTCATGAAGTATTTTGCCCGGTGTCCAGACAAACTCTCCTCCACCGCCGACACCGCCCATACCACTACATGAATGACATATTTTACTCATTTTAGAGTATATATCAGGTTTCTATGTTATTTATATTGTTTATTATGTCATATTATATGAAATGAGATAGATAAATAAGCCGTAGAGTTGATATTAGCGAAATTATTGAAGTACAGAATTCCACTGGAACGGATTAATTGCATTTCAATTAATTTAAATGAGGAAAAGTGATACCGCAAACGAGCAAATCCAGTTGCGAGCAAGGTCATGGAACAGATTAAACTCGCAAGTATTAAGTTAGCAATAGAACTAGGCATTAAAAAAAAAAAAGAAGTAAACTACACACGCAGTACACTTATTACTTACCTCAAAATATTTGTAGTCTTAACCCTTTCAGGGTTGAGAGGCCCTCTCCTAAACTCATTCTCAGGGTTGAAATTTTTTTGGAATAAAAAAAAAAAATTTTTTTTTCTTATGAAATGATAGAGAATCTTTTCCCGCTCATAATGACACCAAAATTATGAAATTTGATGGAAAACTTACGGAATTATGCTCTCACGAAATTGGCAATTTTGCCAATTTCACACAAATTTCAGAAGATGCCAATTTCTAAATAGGGTCCAGAATAAGCAAGACAGACATTCCTGGCACTAAAGTAACATTTTCTCTGTTCATTAGTCACATCTCCAGGCCCCTCTTACATCTCTTTTGCTTTCCACTTTGAAATTTTATTCTCACAAAAAATAGAAGATTTCCTGTTATGCAGACTACTGCATTAGTGCAGAAATGGTATAAATAATATCAGTGCACTTGTGAAAGAATATCAGACTCACCAGTTGACATGTATTGGACGCTCAGCATGATTTGCTTACTTTTGAAATTTGGTAAAAATCGAACATTTCTGCTACTTTGAGTTCAATTTCAAGGTGCTTTTCATTATGAAACCAATCAAAATCATCTCAATTTCTGTAATGTCTTCCATTCTATAAAATGAGACCAGAAAAACTAGAATACAACCATAAATACCATACAAAAATACATTGCAAAGTCGCTGTTATAAACCAAAAACACAGTCGGAGTTTTTTCTCATTATGCACTGTGTGCTGCAGGATTTTTTTTATACTGTGCACAGTGATCACATAGACTCATTCTTTCATATGTAGGCCTACCAGTTTTCTCTCACTAGATTTGAAGGAGCTAGAATTTAGGCGTAAGCCGTACTAGTACGTCGGAAACCTGAAAGGGTTAATGTAGGGCGAGACGTGAGTAGTGTTTATTGTAAGTCAGGTGTGGTAGTTATGGTAGCCAGCCAGGCCACCCCACTCCACCCACACATAATATACTAAGACATTTAAAGCACCCTAGAGCGATAAAATGCATATATAGTGTACACTCATTACTTACTTTAAAATATTTGTACAGTGGAACCTCGGTTTTCGTATGCCCTAGTTTGCATGTAAAACTGGAGTTATTCTCTATAAAATGTATTTTTTGTCAATATTTTTGGTTGTCTGGAACGGATTAATTGGTTCTGTTCCAGACACCCAAAAACACTAAAGAAAAAAAAATATGGAGAAGAACTACAGTTTTACATACAAACTAGGGCATATGAAAACCAAGGATCCACTGTAGTCTTAATGGTCTTAATATAGGGTGCAAGGTGAATAGTATTTATTTATAGAAAGTCAATTGTGGTAGGTATCACAGCCCATCTGGCCACCCCACCCACACATAATATACTAGACATTTAAAGTGCCCTAAAGCGATAAAATGCATATACAATACACTCATTACTTACCTTAAAATATTTGAAGTCTTCATGTAGGGTGAGAGATGAGTAAACGAGATGAAAATGAATAAACGACAGACAGAGAGAGCAAGTAAATGAAGAGAGAGGACAGAGCAGCAATGTAAACAAACAGACAAACGAAGCTGGTGGGTTGATACATGTTCATTTCCAAATTTGTAAAGCTTAGATAATAACGCAAACACTTTACATTGTGTACAAGTTGTCTCCACGGTGGTATAGTATAATACACAAAGAGCAACACTCCCAGTCTCACGTAAAACACCATTTTTAGAAGGAATAACGCTCTGAGTGAAGGAATACAAAAGGAATAATTTTCTACGGTTACCCCCAGTAATACTACTATGAACACATTTTCTTTGGTGTTGGACTAGAGAAAACGTTATTCTTTCCGACACTCCAACTGCAAAAACATTTCATATTTATGTTAATATATTCTACTGTGGGTGTATTTATTGTGTTTGTATGTTATGAAGTGTGTTTATTATATAATTTAAAAAAAAAAATCATAGATGGATTAAGCAAAATGTCTATATTAATGTTTTATATGACATTTAATTAGCACCAGAGTGATTATTATTGTGTGTTATTATTATCAATATTAATATGGCATCTTCAAGATTAATAAGACACTCATAGTGATTTTAATGTGTACCTGCATGCCAGCACAGTGTGTAAGTTTACTTAGGTACAGGTACACATAAGTACATATAATTATCAGACCATATATAAAATATGAAATAACTTTAAAAGACTTGAAGTTTTGGAAAGTTTCCAAACATAGTGGAGAGACGTGGTGCTCACTGAGAATGTAAACAAACCGGGTGGGGCACGGTGACCGTATTAAAAAGACAGGGGGAGCTGTATCGCAAGTTTTGGTCATAATTTGAAATGTCCGTATTAGCGGAATGCATTAAAGCAAAACGCCGTAAAGTGGGATCCTACTGTATCTGGAATTTATATGCATTTTTCTCCTTTCAACAAACCGGCCGTATCCCACTGAGGGAGGGTGGCCCAAAAAGAAATATGAAAGTTTCTCTTTTTAAATTTAGTAATTTATACTGGAGAAGGGGTTACTAGACACTTGCTCCCGGCATTTTAGTCGTCTCTTATGACACTCATGGCTTATGAAGGAAGAATTCTGTTCACTTCCTCATGGAGATTACATGCATTTATAAGAGGAAAAAATGGCATTCCACTTTACAGTGATTTCTGCTTTACAGTGGTAGCCTAGAACCTAACTTGCCATATAAGTGGAGTTCTACTGTATATATTTATATTTATATATTTAATTTATTATTTATGACACTGGCCATTGCCCACCAATATACAGTGACCTAAAAGTAAACACATTCACTATCACTCATCCAATAACTCTTCTGCCAGAGGTTTACAGACACAATTTAGATGACTTTCACTATGTTTATCAGTACATAAATATCAGCTCTATACATTTTTTCTTGAGATCAGGATCTCTTGAAACAATGTAATTCTTCCACAGACATTGAACAACAATATTCATGACATAATTATATGTGACATATACAGGTGGCCCTCCACTTTCGCGAGCTTCGAGCATTTGCGAATTCCCAGCCGCCCAATCATATTTATGCTTTCCGCTGCATCCCTACTACCCTCCCTCTTACCCCCTCAAACAGCAGCCAGCCCGCCACTCACTCAGTCATTGTCCAGTTACTCTTCGCGTTGGCCTGTGCTAACTCTGACAATAGCGATGTCGATGATCCACCAAGTATTATCGGCAGTGATGAGTTAAAATCCACACACACTAGATTCATTATGCCATGCAGTTACACTCCATATAATCATCTCCATTCAACTGTCATCAGTAAATGCATGGCTAACTATCATGACCATCATCATTGTATTGTTAGGCTAAGTAAATGCTATTATTATATTTCCCTACAGTATATTTGTGCAACCCAGTGAGGAGCAGGGGTGTGGTGGGGACAATAAGGGAACACTGTATCAACATCTAGGGCCCCAGACTTTTCAACATCTTACCAGAAGATATCAGAAACACTGCTCGAACAAGTGTAGAAGCCTTCAAGAGGAAACTGGACAAGTATCTTCACCAGGTGCCAGATCAACCAGGCTGTGATGGATGTGGAAGCGGACCTCCAGCAGCAACAGCCTGGTTGACCAGGCAAGCACCAGACGAGCCTGGCCCATGGCCGGGCTCAGAGAGTAGATAAACTCTCGAAACTCTTCAAAGGTAAAGGTATATACCAAACATTCACGAATTTTCAACATTCACGAGATTCCTGATCCCGTAACCCTCGCGAATGTGGAGGGCCACCTGTACCAGCATTACCATAATGATACACAATAAAGCGAAATTAATAATATTTAACTGTTTATAGAAAGGATGTGATTGATAAAAGTGTATGCATTAAACAATATCTACTTGCTAAGAAAGTTCTCAACAAGATTACATAGAAAGCTTACATAATATGTTGACTATGGTGAGAGGCAAAATGGTCAAAGAACATTGTACACAAATAGTCAAACTCTGAAATGTAAGAACATGCTACACAGACAAACTGAAATGTAAGAACATGCTACACAGACAATCAAACTCTGAAACGTAAGAATATACTACACAGTCAAAGTTTGCAACGACAGAATGTGCTACACAATCAAACTTTGAAATGTAAGAACATGCAACACAAACTCTCAAAGTGTCAAACTTCCAGCAGACAAGGGTAACTTAAAAAAAATAGAAATTATATATTATCATTATTGCATAGTTGTAAGAGAAGAAAGTGTTACAAGAATTACAGCAATTAGATTATGAAATACCGTAGGTGATTCTTAACTAATATTCCACATATTTTTTACAAGTTTGCTGCAAAATATATAAGTACTATTTGCAGAAGGCAAATAATAATGATACATACCCAAGCTGTCTTGCAGTGGCTTCTAATCTCTCCACCATGGCAGGTAGAGTGGTAACTTTGATATTTTTCTGGAGTGAGTCAAGACAAGAGCCTAAGGCTACCCGTTCACCTGGATCCAGCAGGTGGTGTTTGTTCTGCGGCACAAAAAACAAAGTGATGACCCTGAACTGGCATCAAAAGGTAAGATACAAATACTTGATCAAGATGCCTTATGATGCTCCAAACATTATTTCAATAGAGTCTACTTCACAAAAGCAACATCAAATTGACCCTGCCTTTATAAATAAAATAAAACATGAATATTCTTTATTCCTACAAGTCAGATAAAGTAATGTATTTCCATTGGGGTCCTTGAGGGGATTATTTTTTTATTGGCATCAGTATCTGTGATTCTGGAGTGGTGGGTCACTGGCTGTGCCTCCAAACCAACAAGGCTCCAAGGTGATGGAATATTTCTGGTGGCCCGTGGCCTGGTGGCAAAAGCTCTCACCTCACATAGTGAGGGGTTCGAGTTCGATTCCCAGCAAGTGTTGAAATATTGGGTGTGTTTCCTTACACTGGCTGTCTATGTTCAACAATCAGTAAAATGGGTACCTGGGTGTTAATCGACTGGAATGGGTTGCATCTGGGGACTAAATTGACCTAATTTGCCTGAAATGCTCTGCATAACAAGAGGCTTTCTATATCGTAGAATGTCATTGATGTCAGCTAGGCCTGTATACCCTGTACATGTACTTGTACAGGTTGGCCATCACTAATCTGGCAATCAGTTATCCGGTTCCATCAGTAATCTGGCACTAATTTTGGCTAGCATAATTTCAAATTTCATTATTATGTTGACTCAAATCATTACACTGACTCAAATTTCATCATTATACTGACTGTAAAATTGTGCAGATGGTTGTAAATCCACAGCAGCAAGCCAGTGGAGAAAAAAAGCAGTGATAAACATGAAGATGTAACAGAAAGAGTCTCTGTTGATAGGTTAATTAAGTGTATTCTAACTTAGCCACTCTGTAATCCGGCAAACTCACTAATCCGGCACACTACAGGTCCCAATGATGCCAGATTAGTGATGGCCGACCTGTAGAATATATAGTAATACAGTAAGGCCCCGCTTTACGGCGTTTCGCCTTACGGCATTCCGCTAATACGGCGATGTCAAATTATGACCAAAATTTGTTATACGGCAAGCGGTCTTTTAACCCTTTGAGGGTCGACAGGCCCTCTCCGAAACTCGTTCTCAGGGTCGGCCAAATTTAAAAAAAAAAAAAAATTATTTTCTCTTATGAAAAGATAGAGAATCTTTTCCCGATCATAACGACACCAAAAGTTTGAAATTTGATAGAAAACTTACGGAATTATGCTCTCGCAAAGTTAGCGGTCTCGGCGATGTTTACGGATCGGCGATTTTGCCCACTTTGAGCCCCATTTTCGGCCAATTTCACTGTACTAGTCGACAAAAAACATGAATATTTCGCTAGAACTCCATTTTTTCTATCGAATGGGTGCAAGAAACCACCCATTTATAAATTCAACTATCCAGTACAGTGGTCAGAATTTAGCAATTTTGCCAATTTCACACAAATTTCAAAAGATGCCAATTTCGGAATAGGGTCCAGAATAAACAAGAAAGACATTCCTGGCACTACAATGACATTTCCTCTAGTCATTAGTCACGTCTCAAGGCCCCTCTTATATTCTTTTGCTTTCCACTTTGAATTTTTATTCTCACAAAAAATATAAGATTTACTGTTATTGCAGACTACTGCATTAGTGTAAAAAAATGGTATAAATATTATTGGTGCACTTGTGAAAGAATATTAGACTCACCAGTTGACGTGTATTGCACGCTTGGCACGATTTGTTTACTTTTGAAGTTTTTGGTAAAAATCGAACATTTCTGCTACTTTGAGCTCAATTTCAAGGCACCTTTCATTGTAAAACCAGTCAAAATCATCTCAATTTCAGTAATATGTCTTCCATTCTATAAAATGAGACCAAGAAAACTAGAATACAACAATAAATACTATACGAAAATACACTGCAAAGTCGCTGATTTATTAAAAAAAAATGGAAAAAGTTTTTTTTTTCTCATTATGCACCGTGTGCTGCAGGATTTTTTTTAGACTGTGCACACTGACCACATAGACCCATTCTTTCATATGAAGGCCTACCAGCTTTCTCCCACTAGATTTGAGGTCGCTAGAATTTATGAGTACTAGTACGTCAAAAACCCCTACGCGTACGACGTACTAGTACGACGAAAACCCTCAAAGGGTTAAATACGGCGCCCACCACCCGGTTTGTTTACATTTTCCGTGACCACATCTATTATGTCAGGAAACTTTCCAAAATTTCAAGTGTTTTAAAGTTACTGCATATTTTATATGTACTCTGATAATTATACCTATGTGTACCTGTACTTAAATATACTTACACACTGTGCTGGTGTGCAGGTACACATTAAAATTGCTAAGTCTCTCTCTACTCATGATGCCAATACTACATAATAATAATCACTCTTGGGCACACTAAATCTCTTATTTTACATCAATATAGGCATTTTCATTAATCCATCTATGATATTTTCCTCAAAATTATATATGAAACCCATTACATAGCATATAAACATGATACATACACTCAGAATAAAAATTGATGTATTTAAATATGAGATTTGTTTACAAAGCAGCTGTGTAGGTAGTGTCGGAAGAATTATGTTTTCTCTAGTCAAACGCTGGGGGATAACTGTAGAAAAATATTCTTTTCGTATGCCTTTACTCTATATATAGCAATTCATGACCCTTGTGGGTTTAGTGCTTTTTATAATAAATAATAATAATAATTATTATTAATATTAATATTATTATTATTAATATTATTAATAATAATAATAATAATAATATTATTATTATTAATATTATTATCTTCATTCACTCTAAAAATGGTGTGTTGCTGTTTGTTTATTCTGAACTAACTTGTACAACTTGCACACAATGTAAGAGTATTTGTACTGAGGTAATTATTATTAAAATAAAAAAAATATTGAGGTAAATGTTTTACACACTCTTACAAATGGACATGAATGAACTAAAAGTAGACACATATTAATACGCATTTCGCCTGATCAAGTGATCGTCCACTACCTGTTCAGTTTGTGTTCTTACATTGTCTCAACTCTGTATCTCGTTCTCTCTCTCGTTTACTCTTTCGTTAACTAGCTGGCTCTCATTGATGATGGCGTCTAAGGTTAGCTGCAATAAAAAGAGAAGTCGTAAGCCTCTTGCTTTAAGTGCCAAGTTAGAGGATGATGGCGTGCCATTTTGATTTTATTCAATAAACACCCTGCCACTCACCTCTCACACATTAATATTAATATTTTAAGGTAAGTAATAAGTGTACTCTGTGCGTATCTTACCTTTTGTGTTTTTAATGCCTATTTCTATTGCTAACTTAATATAAGTTAGTGTAAACTTGTTGTCTGGCATTTAATGCATATTTTATATGCTCTGATAATAATACTTGTGGAGCCGGGTGGAGGGACAACATTACGTTTTCTCTGCTCAGCCATCAGAGAAAACGTGTATGAATCTGCGTTTGGCCCAGCCACTCCCCCACTCCTAATTTGTTTACAATTTTCGGCATGAATTATTCATTACTTCTACCTTCGTTTATGATGGCATCTAAAGGTAGTTGTTAGAAATGATTAAATTCAGTGAACAAGGCATGTCGATGTTAATAATATGGCTCTGGGCCACAGTGTAGGTAGCCGGTAGGTGTAGCCCAGGCTACACCTACCGGCTACACCTACCGGCTACCTACACTGACTTTATACAAATAAATACTACTCACCTCTCTTCCTATATTAAGACTACACATATTTTAAGGTAAATAATGAGTGTACTGTATGTGCATTTTACCTCTCTGGGATGTTTTAAATATCGTATATTACGTATGAGACGGGGAGCCAGTGCTACCTACACCTGGGCTACCTGCACCTGACTTCCTACAAATAAGTACTACTCACCTCTCTCCCTACATTAAGATTACAAATACTTTAAGATAAGTAATGAATTTACTGTGACTGTATTTTCCTTTGTGTGTTTTTAATGCCTAGTTCTATTACTAACTTAATATAATTTAGTGTAAACTTGTTGTCTGGCATTTATATGCATTAATAAATGGAAAAAAATGGAGTTCTGCCTTCCAGCAATGTCTGCTTTCCGGCGATGGCCTGGAACCTAACCCGCCGTATAAGTGGGGCCCTACTGTATATATAGTTATAGTCCTTTCTTTCAATTTTCTGTCACTGAAAAATCACTTGCTGATTACAAAGGGGCTTTCTGTATGCACACCTGTCACCAACATCTGTACAACCACTGTATCATGCTGAAATGAAGAAACTAGAATCTTCAATCTTTAGCTATAATTGTCAGTTTCCCCAAGATTTGTGGGATCTGTACCTCCTGGTCCATTGCAAATGATAGGCAGGGCAATTTGTGTTGTAGCATTGTTTTTAGTGGACTGATATATGCCACATTTCAGGGTGAAAAAATTTACAAAAGGTAGAACAAAACACTCCTTTCGGACAAGGGGTTGCAGCTGTACAATTTTGCTTTCAGATGGCTAGAATTTGGATAGGGAGGGGGGAGGGGGCTGAGTTTTCAATTTATTCAGTTTCTAGAACTGCACAATCATCTTCAATAACTGGACCAACTGTTCCCAGATGCAGACTTCTGTTCTACTAAATTTATATTGGAGGCTGTGATAGAGTCTGTTGCTGAGTCTGCAGTGGAGTCTGTATTAGGAGCTTATAGCTGGATCAGCACTAGAGCTGGAGGCTGAACGGGGTTATGTTCTGGTTACACGTACTTTTTCTAGTAGGCCTCTATTTCCAAGTCATCTACTGAAATAAGGGAATTTTGAATGTTTCTATATTTTGCTCCTCTTTTACATTCCAGCTCTGTTCCTTTTTCCTGAAGCAGTTTTTCTTCCCATGTTCTATATAATTTGGGTAGGCTATCCACGTGCCCCTTTGCTCTCCTGTTTATTATTTAGTACCCTCCTTAGTACTTTCCTGAATCCTGTCCAAAGCCCCATATCCTTACTGCGGATCCAGAAGCACCTTTCT